TACTTGTGTTTTTCACCCAATGAGAAAATTATACATTGAAAATTGTGGCTTTCTAACTAAGTTCTCATTGGACTAGCGTTTGATGGAACGTATTTGATCCTGGGTTGTGTCTCCCAGGGGGAAACTTTGAACAGCACACTTATATGCTCTTAAGGTAAAGGTTCCCCTTGACATTTAGTCCAGTCGTGTCCGACTCTAGAGCATGATGCTCATCCCCGTCTAAAAGTGGTCACTTTCTGCAATTTCCCCCAAAAGGAAAACAAATAAAACAGAAAATGCTCTCTACCATTTTTAAAATAGTAAAACATTGCCATTTTCAAGTCCAATATGGTGCCTCCTCCAAGCTCCCTGAGATGACTTACCTGTGCTATATATAAAGTGGAGTATCAAGTGTGATCATGCTGTAGTATTTAGCTGGGGTAGAAGTTAAGGTCCAAAAAAAGGTGCATCAACACACCCATGTTTTGAGTGAAGGGTCTGCAATTCTCTGCTTGAGGTTCATAGCTACAACCATAACTTTTTGCTTTGAATCAAGTTATAATATGGCATTCTGGCAATATTAATTGTTAGAGATGACATGGTGAGATGATTACTCTCAATGAGTCCTGGCAGGTGCAGAAGCTGCAGTGTGTATGTATCTTTCACTTCCAAGGGCTTCACAACTGATTTCAGAGGGGCAACTCCGTATATGTATAGGAATCCCTGCTTGTAAAAGTAACTTTTGGAGAATATCTGAGGGCTTTTGGGAGTTGTAGTCCCCCAAATATTTGCACGCTCTGGTAGGAATACATGGATTGAACTCTCAATTGAAGTAAATGGAAATATCTGCTTGCTCAGGAGTTCTGTGTGTATATCAGGCTATATCCAGAGGCTAGATCAGAAGCAATGACTTTGACCAATTATTGCATGAAAAGTTTTCTACTTTTGACTCTTCTTTAAAATTCTTTTTGATGACCAATACCACCAAAGCCTTTTTTTTTTTTTAAAGGAAAACAGGATTAAGCATTAAAGGAAATGAATACCTGTCTATAAATAGGCTCAAAGTGTTTTAAAGATTAAAGAAGAACTGCATAATTATTAACCAGATGATTGGCTCAATATGCATTATCTTAGAAAAATGTGAATTTGTGCTGTATGTAAAAACACTCCAAATTGTATTTCTATCTCAAATTGCCATTGACATATTTTTATGGGGTAGAATCCTAATAGAAAATGCATTGATCTGTCTGCTGGTAATTTACTGAATTATCTCCATCTGTTTATGAAAAATGCCATGGCAGGGGCTGCCAGCTTATAACTGCAACTTGTAATTTACATTCCTGCCCAGATACATCCAAGAAGAGTATGTACTTCCTAAGACGACACATAAAGCTTCTGTTTGCAAGTATGTTTACAAATAGGCCAAGCAGATGTATGCAGATCAGGTCACAGTAAGACAAAGGGGAAAAGTTGGAGGGCACTTGTCAAGTTATTTCTGCTGCTCCTTTTCTTTGCCCCAGGACACAAAAGTATCCCTTGGGCCAGGGCAGGTAAACACTACAGGACAGAAGGGTTCCCAAGCCTCAGTGGAGAATCTTTTCCTGCTAGGGTGTGAGACTGTTAGTACCAGAATCCCTAGCAGGAAGCTGATGTTCCCTGTATTATTTCCGCTGGAGATAGCTTCCCCGCAACTATCTGCACTCTTCCTCTTCTTGTGCCCCAAGATATGTTTGGGGGCTTTGGGGAAGGTGGAGACATCCGTACCTTACAGAACTGAGATGTGCCCGGCTTACAGCAACTTACAATCAGGGCTATACTCATGCAAGTCCTCATGCATATTGACAAATAGGGCTATAGGTGCTGAATTACAACTCCCATGAGCTCTAACCTTGAAGTTCAGTTGTGAGGAATCATGGGATCTCTAATCCAACAAAATTTAGAAGGTCTCTTGACATTAGCAGAGGCATTTTATATTTGTTGCTTGAGTTCTATGCATACTAAGATATTGGATTATGTTTTCTTCAGGATGTATTCTCTGCATTAGATCCCTTCTCCCTTCCAGGATCCGGCTGGTTACAGTTAGGCTTGCTAAGTCAGCAATACCACTTTCCCTAATATTTTAGGGCTGTTGTCTGAGACCTGGGTGGGGGAGGGCTTGTGATGTCACAGAGGTGGGTCAGGCAAGGTTTGAGACAAGATGGAACTGTTTCATGGCTTGCAAGAATGGACACAAGGGCAACCCAGAAGCCAGGGTGGGGATAAGAACTATTTTTGCAGTTGGGAAGGTGGCATAAGGCTTTCAGCAGCTGCAGCAGTTCTCAGAAGCATATACTACCTTTCTGTATGGTCTTACTTACAGGAGACATGAAGAATGGGAAGTTGTGTAAGGCTCATTGCTAGCCCACAGGGATGCCCCCCCCCTTTCTGTCCCACTCCTACCAGGGCTGGCACAGCAAGAAGGCTCACAAGTTGCAACCCCAGCGCTCCACTCTCTGCTTTGCTCTGCCTGGCACAACAATCCATGCCTGTATTCTCATTTCTCTCTCCAGTATTTTCTCCGTGACTCTGGCTTTTTGATACTCCTGCTTTCTATAAGTGCAACACCTATACAATACACAGGGCCCATGCTGAGCCTGTGACTCTTGGCCCCAGGTGGGAATGGGCAGAGATGTCTGTCTGGGGCACGCCTGGCCCTGAGATTTGTCCCCTTGCCTACAGAAGCATAACAATTTCCTGAGAATTGAGTTGGTAGCCTGGAAATTAGCATCGTCATTCATGGCACATCATCTCTTAGTGGTACAAATTGCTATGGCTGCTGAACTCTGAAGTTCTTGCTAATATCAGTTGTATTTATTAGTTTGTGCTCTTGTTGATCTCTACACATTTTTCTTTTGTTCCTTCTTGCTTTTCTCTTTCAAATCCATAATGTAGGCAATGCATTTCCTCTCTTCTCTCTCTCTCTCCTTCCCTTGTAAGATCTTCTGCGAGATAACTCTGCTATGGCCACTGTCTTCAATCACTTAAAAGGCAATAATTCAATTATATCCTCTTCTCAGTAGCAACTGCCATTGCTTTCTGTCCACTTCCAGTCCCTGCAAGTAAATTACTTTGATAAAGACCCCCCTCCCTGACACTCCTAACTCTCTTTTTCTCTTTCCAAGAGAGACACATGTGTTATGATACCAGTGATATTCCAAGGACAAAACAATTCTCAGTTCTTTACTAACAAAATGGGGAAAATGTGATGATTCCTATGTGCTAACTGGCCACCCCTTGCACCCCAGGTTTTTTGTTTGTTTTGTTTTATGAATGTCCTATGTGTTGCCGAAATGTAATACATTTTAAGCTAACCTGTGTTGCTCCAAAGCATATCCAGAAGGGGTCTCTGCCAAATGCAAGATTTAAATGGCTTCAATTAACTGGATTGTCTATGGGAGCAGGGAACAGGCAGCAGATTTGGAAGTGCATCAGGTCAGATAGGTCTCTGGGGGACCCTGTGAGTGAAAATGGCTTTGTTCCTAAATAGGTTAAATTGCTAAATAGCTGTAGCTCGTTTTTGCTCCTTAAAAGCTGTGTCTGTGAATGCTGTTGGGTGCCCACTTGTCAGATAGTACTGCACACACACAAGCCTCTCCAAGGCCGATTTCCTTGACCAGAAGGTCAGCCATTGATGTCTGACCTGCATGCATTAGAGCAGTGGTCCCCAACCTTTGGCCTCCAGATGTTATTGGACTACAACTCCCAGAAGCCTTCACCGCAACCTCTGCTGGCCAGGATTTCTGGGAGTTGAAGTCCAGGAACATCTGGAGGCCAAAGGTTGGGGACCACTGCATTAGAGAATACTTCTCTCTGTAAGGGCTTGCCTGGTAAGAAAAGTCATTTAGAGGAGTGGAGCTGTTTTTCGGGTATAGGCTTGCCAGCTCTCAGGGCACTGGCTGTGCTACCCAGAGCCTTCAGCTGGGTAATAACCCTAGGAGTGAGCAACACTGAGGGAGCGGAAAGTTAGATTCTTGTATAGTGAAGTGTCTTCAAAGCTTCAATGTCCTTCTCTATCCAATCCCACTTGGCACCTGGGCTCACTGGCTCAACCTCAAAGTCTTTGCCTGTTGTTCTTGTTCAGTGTAGTTGTACCCAAAACCTTTGAGTGTGTATGCATTTGGCTCTATCATCCTGTCTGGAGCAGGGGACAGGCTCAAATGCAGTAGAGTGTCTGTTTTATGACTTAAGAGACATTTGTCACATGAGCCGTGGCAGCAGTGGCCCAGTCCTGGGGAAGAAGCTCCTCTCATATGTTGTATGACAAGAAGATCATTGTTGACTTATTTGTTTTCAGCTTGTAAATAGATTTGTTGAAATTATGTTTTTAAGGTTTTGTCTCATAGGTATCAATGGAATACAGCTGACATATACAGTGGTGCCTCGCTTGACAACGTTAATTCGTTCTAGCGAAATCACTGTAGAGCGAAAACGACATCAAGCGAAATAAAAAAAGGCCATTGAACTGCATTGAAAACCATTCAATGCATTCCAATGGGCTGAATACTTGCTCGTCCAGCAAAGATCCTCCATACGGCAGCCATTTTCGGGTGCCTGTTAAGCGAAAAATGCCTCCTAAAAACAGCGGGGAGCCATTTTGAGCAGCCGGCGGCCATTTTGAAAACCCGACGATCAGCTGTTTTGATCATCATAATGGGAAGAATCGGTTCCCGAAGCAGGGAACCGATCGTTGCAAAGTGAAAAAAACCCAATTAAAACATCGTTTTGTGATCGCAATTGCAGTCGCAAAAAAATATCGTCGTGAGCGGATTCGTCGTTATCCGGGGTAATCATTAAGTGGGGCATGACTGTATAGTCTTTTTTTGTTAAAACAAAACTGCACAAACCTGAAGTCCCATTAGTTCAAAAGATGCTGAGCACATGCTACCATTGTCTTCCAATTGTATCAGGGTGAAAACGGGTAATTAAATAAGCATTTAGGTGGTTGTTCAGCAATGCTGATGTTGGATGTTGTCTTTCTACAGAGAAAGTGTTGAGAGTCTTATTCAGAAGCATTCCTATGCCCGATCTCCGATCAGAACCTACGGAGGTGAGGATGAAGCTCTGGGAGATGAGAGCCAAGCAACACAAAGCCGAGGTAAGGGGATGTCTGATCTGGGAAGAGTGGGCGTTCAGAGGCGCAGTGGTTTCGACATTGGCAGGCAACAGCCACTCACTGTGTCATGCAAAGAAGCCCAAGAAGTCAGTAGTTGGGGGGGGGTCCCAGAGGAAAGAAGAGGAACATAGTTATTTCTAGAGCAGTTCATTTAGTTTCTGTGCTGGATGCTGGGGAGGGGAACTTCCCTTTCCTGGCAGCCCACCTGGTTTCCAGCAGGAGTGCAGCATCTGCTCAGTTTCACTTCCTCTCTTAGAAAATTAAAAATCACCAATCTGGATCCTTCTTGGTTAAAGGAACCAAACACACACACACACACACACACACTTTTTTTTTTTTACAGTTCATGGTTTTGTTCTTTGCAATGTGGAGCAACGTCTCCACATGTCTATCTTCAGAGAGCAGAAAATGGAGAAAGTAGGGAAGACAGATAGCAAAAGAAACAAAAGGCAGGAAGGGGCATTCTCAAGAACACTGAGCCTTTGGAGAAAAACTCTCTAGTTAAATTAATTACAGGTACAGGGGCATCCTCCCCATTGGCAATACCTGGGAGGAGACAGGTATTTCTTGATTCTTCTGTCAGACTCTCCCTGTCAAACTGTGAATGGCTTCACACATTGGCTATGTTGGAAAATTACAACCTTGCTGCCTTCGTCTTTTAACCTGTCTCCTCTCAGTTCATATGTAAGCTACGTATGTGCCAAGATTTGAATTTTGTTGATGGCACTTTGTTTTTGTCGTCGTTGTCGTCCTCCTCCTCACTGGTTCAAATGGAAATGACTTGTTATGCTTTAGTGCTGCAGTCCAGCAACTAGACTGCAACTTCTACCAGCTCTAATCAGCATAGCCAGTGCTGAGGAATGATGGGAGGTATAGTCCAAGAACATTTAAAAGACCACAAATTGCCCAGCTTGTTTGCTTTGTTTCCAGGGTCTGCTTTTACCACATCCGATAACTTGTCCCTGAGTTCCTGGGTCTCTTCGACTTCCAGCTTTCCAGGATTCCAGCATCCACAACCCTTGACTGCTCTTGGCTCTGGCACTGCCTCCATAGCCACTCCCATTCCACATCCCATCCAAGGATCCCTCCCTCCCTACAGCCGCCTGGGAATGCCTCTCACCCCTTCAGCCATTGCCAGCTCCATGCAGGGAAGTGGTCCCACATTCCCTTCTTTTCACATGCCTCGGTACCACCATTACTTTCAACAAGGGCCTTACGCTGCCATCCAGGGACTGCGCCACTCCTCAGCTGTCATGACCCCCTTTGTATGACTGACCCTGAGAGAAACGAGAGCCAGGACATGGCACGAAAATCCTGGTGGATGTGTCAGAAAGGCCTGCAGAGGAAGAATAGAGCAACTCCTGAGAAAACCAGTTGGCATAAAACATTCTGGAGTTTGACGTCTCTCCCGAGAGTGTGATGGACGCAGCTTGGAGGGTGTGAGGAGCTCAAAGGGGACTCCAAATGGCACCAGGTCTGTAATTAAACAATGAATGAGTGGAAGGTGCATTGTAACCACTGGATAAGAGACTATGTTCTGACAATAGTGTATAGTTCAGAGCCTGGGAGATGTTTTTTGTTTGGCCAACAACTCCGAGAATACAACAGCCAGTTTGGCTCTGGCCAAGCTGTGGCACAGGGTGGTGGTGGTATTTTGAGATTTGTAGTCCAAAGAAGGAAGTTTCCAAGCTCTAGTATATTGTGTATGTTTCCCCCTCCCAACAGAGACAAAAGAGGCAATACTATGTTATTAATTTCACTGCTTCACATCCACATATGAAGGGGCCAGGGGGACTGTTTGGTTTTTAGCATGGTTAGGTAATTTCATCTTTAGGTCCACTACCAAGGAAAGCAGAGGAGAAATGCTGTTCATCTTTCCCTCCATTGCTATTAATTGCTTTATATTAAAATACCAGTCTCAGCCCATTATAACTATTGGACAGATTCCACTGGGATTCCTCCTGCATGAGTCCTGTGGGAATGAAAGTGGTTGTGCAAATGCAGCAGTGCTCTTGTGAAATTGAAAAGCATGCACCCTTGTCCAACTCATTCCCCCCCCCCTTCCCAGAAGCTGAGTTTGGGGAGAGTATGACCTGTTCAATGTTCCTGCACCCCAAACCACAAAGCAATGTTTTCCCTATATATTTCTTTCTCCATTTGCAAGGCTATGCTACTTCAGGCTTGTCATACAGAAATGTGCCTCAGAAATTTGTTTGTGTTTCTTGGATTGACAAAATGTAAGTATCAATTAGCTAGAACTGCATTCGTTTTTGAAGATCTCAGAGTCTGACATCTGAATAAGAAACATCTTCACACTTCAGCCTAAAGCAGTGGTTCTTAACCTTTGTTACTCGGATGCTTTTGAACTGCAACTCCCAGAAACCCCAGTCAGGACAGCTGGTGGTGAAGGCTTCTGGGAGTTGCAGTCCAAAACTCCTGAGTAACCCAAGGTTAAGAACCAGTGGCCTAAAGCATGGGTTGGACAAAATGCATTCCCCTCCCCCAATGCTTTTTGTGCCATCTTCTTTTTCTGGGTAAAAAACTGTGAATTACAGGTTCTAGCAGCCCCCAGAAGTGGTGACTCACTTTTTAAACAGGCCATAATTTCCCCTGCATCATTTAGCAGTTTTCTAAAACTGGAATATGACTTCTACTCAATAGAGGGTGTTTTGTGCCGTGTGTGCGCGTGTGCGTGCGTGCATGAGCGTGCGTGTGTATGTGCATGTTTGGGGTGTGTGTGTTTGCATCTTGGGGCAATCTAACCTTGTTAAAGATGCCCAGCCATGTCCTAATACCTTGCATTTTTATTGAGCATATTAGGGTAAAGTAACAATTATTCACCATGCTTTAATGACAGCAGTGGAGGTGACTGGCAGAGAGAAAGGGGAGGGGAAAGAAACTTCTTATTTAAAATACAGATTATTTTGTGTTCTATTATTTTCTTCATAACTTTTCATGAAGGTTAAAAGGATTTTTCCATCTTCTCAGTGCCCACATCTATCACAGCCAATAATGAGAGTAAATGACAGCTTGAATCTGGACAGCCATGAAGTTGCCCACCCCAACCAAGAAAGATGGAAGAAACCAAGCCCCTTTGTGTGGTTACCAATTAAGCCCATTTAATTAGGATATGAAATACATTTTTATCATGGATAGACATAACGGAGCAGAAAGGCACATCTGGAAATGAATCAAGAAGCCCTTCCTAATGTTATATTTAAATCATACAATGGGGTGAACACCTTGTGGTCCTCCAGATGTTGCTGGTCTGCAATGCCTATCACCCCTAGCCTGCATAGGCAAGAGTGAGGGATGATGGGACCACCTTACAGGCCACAAATTGCCCATCCTTCTCCTGAAAGGTGAGGTGGCTTTCCCTGATCCTGTGAGATCAACAGCAGGCTTGGCCGGAACACGTTGGGACATTGCTGCCAAGAATATCAGTGCCAAAAAAATTAAACCATCTTTTAGTTCATAAATCTGCAGTGCTATTTATCTTTACCAGAAGGCTCCGCAGAAGCACTCTGTGGAGTTGGGGTCTTACCCACTTTGACAAAACAGACTCTTTTGTATTTTTGCCAAGAGATGTTGAAGCAAACAGATTTTGCTAGCTTTACAGAATTTCATCCGCATGTCAGTGACATAAAAAGAATGCCTCCCTTCCTTTCCTCTTAACCATTTACTTTTCCATAAAACTTGTAATGCTGGCAGAAATCCAGTGGCATCAAATACAGGTGGTCAGTGTTTACTCTTTGGGATTGTTTTGTGGTTTGTAGACACTTGTGGCATTCTGTGTCACAGTATATTGAACACCAGCTTCACTGTTAGAAGATGAAAAATACTATTCTTCCTAGAGACACATTTCTTCAAAGCTCCTAAGTCAATCTTTTGGCAATGGTGCGGCTAAAAAATATTGTAAATCAATAAATAAATAAATCTGCAAATGAAGTCTGTTGTTGACTTCTGAGGACCAACCATCAAATAAAAGCAAGACATTTTCCACCTTCTGGTAACATAAACATCCTTTACCTAAGTAAGCTCTTCTGTAACTATGAAGCTGGATTTTGGACAATTTGGACTTGGTCAGGAAAGCAGAAGATAGCTGCTAGAAGCACACAATGAAATTCATTTGAAAGGCTGTAAGTTCTCATGGTTTCTGAATACTCCATAGGAGGATTTATTCAGTACATGAATCATATCAACACATTTAAGAGTCAGAATCCCAGAATAAGAAAACTGAGAAACAGTCAATATATTCACCAAATTGCCGCAGTTCTCAGAATGCAGAGCAAAATTTTGATAATTATTCTAAGCATGCTAACTTATAAAGAAACCCAAAGAACTGGGGAGTTGACACCAAAGAAATGGATGTGGTCGTTTTCTGCTTAGTAAGAGCTGCCAGTTTGGCTAGCCAATCTTAAATTGCATTCCTGGTTATTTACATGAGACTAGATTGAGACTGCTGTCTAGAAATAAGCATTGGGTCAAAATGGTGCCTATAATGCATACACTGAACTTCAGGTAAATGGGGACTGACTCTTTTTCTTCAATGCTTCATTATCTGCACTGAGCATTACCTAACGCTGGAGCAGATGGGGCAGCCATTGCTTAGGCACTGCTTCACGTCCACATATGAGCACTGAAATTATTGCATTATGATAAACTCATTTAGGATTTAGGCACATATAAATGCTTTCATTTCATTTATTGTAACTTGCTTTTCTTGTGCGTCAGATTTTTCTCTCTCCCTTCTTGTTTGTTGCAATAAGTATGGGCCTGGTTCTTCCCATTTCCTCATGTGAATAAAGGTTTATTTATATTTGTAAGAGGCAATCTCAGTTTTTGATTTAAAATATCAGGATTTTTAAAGAAGTTCTAGGCAATTATTTCAGTGAGTAAATTGTGACACTTTATAAATAACTATTAAAAATAATTTTGGACAAAAAATACAGATTGTTGTATTTTACCTCTGACATGTTCTAAGTAAGTATTTAGTTCTTTAACACCAAAAATGCAAGGACCGTGTTACTTTAAAAGAATCTCTCTTAATAGAGTGTATTACCAGTCTATTGTTTGCTGTGTTGCATTGTTTTATTGTGTGAGCACATTCACCATGTAATGATGTGTGTGTATAGGGGAGATGAGGCCAATGTGTTTTATGGGGAGGGGGGAAGGAGTTGAGTACATAAACTAGGAAACAACATCTAACAAAAAAGTTTTTGTTTTAAGTGCAATATATTTATTTCTGCCAGAAATATAATATCAACATTATATTTGAAGCACTAAATGTGATTTGTAAACAACTTAAAATAATTATGTATCACAATGTTGTACATAGATGCCAATGTGTGGATATTAATTTTCTTTCATTAAAATATTGTCATTTTTAAATATGATATTTATTTATTGAATTAACTTTACTCAGTATAGTTTGGAAATGAAATCATCATACTAAGGATTGGATTGACATGGTATTTACAGAATTGCCTGAAACTGAGCAAGCAAGCAAGAAGCTGAAAACAATTTGCCATTGGAAATCTCCTCATTCCTAAGGTTGTGATGCAGTAATGTTGTCAGAAGGCAAGCCACAAACCTGCATGCATAGTTGGGGGAGTGAGGGAGTACGAAACATGCTATTTTGGGGGAAAATGTGTAAAAATGCACATTTTACAATCAGAGGGCCTGATCACATGAGGCAAATGCTCCCCATGTCTAATGATACTTCCCATACTTCTGTTGTACTGAATTGTGGTCACGTGGTATATATATCTGGACAAACATTCCCATTTGTTTTAATCTGTCCAATTCATTTCTTCCTATTTGAAACGTTATGGCCACTGACACTGTGGAACTGATTTATTTTCTGTCTTGTCTCCAGGGGCAGTCCAGCCCCTTATTTTACATTTTTTAACAGTAAAAAATATAAAGCCCCTAACCCATGCCTCTCTCCTCCCTCCCTCCTTCCCTCTGCCAGCAAAGACTGGATATCCCTGCTGCCACCTCTGCACTGAGCCCCACAGGGTGGGCGCGCTTCTTTGAGCTGGCATCTTGGTCCTGGCCACTCTCCTTTCTCCATATCCCTCCCTCTGCCAGCAAAGGCTGGGTATACCCTCTCTGCCACTCCTGTGCTGAGCCCCCGTGGGGAGGGAGGGCATGCTTCCTCAAGGAAGCACCTTGGTCCTGGCTGCTCTCCCATCTCTGTTTTCCCCAGTGGGATTGACGTTCACACGTGCAACACTGGTAAGGAATGTTCCAATACATCCTCAGGATACAAGAACAGAATCCTCCTGGAGAAGGGGAAATAAACCGCAGCTACACCATTGCCTGAGAAAATGGTGCGATAATGGCCATGCATCATGTGACTGGAAATTTATATAACATTCTAACTGGGGTATAACTAGGGAACATTTGCTTTGTGCAGTCAGGCCTTCTAAGACGTTAGACCACAAAACCTGCAGTATAGGCTAATGCCTGTGGATGATGAGATCATATAGTGCAATTTATCTCCAAACTGCCACTGATGGGGAATGCTTTCCTAAAACATGGGACCTAAGGATATATTCTCTCAAGTTTTTAATCACTGATTTTCCCTCTTCCACCACTCATGTTTCAAACACCATGAATTGTTTGTATGGAATGGAAAGAGAATACAGCAAAATGTATTTGTTCCAGGATACTGATCCCCTACAAATGCAATAATGCTCAGAATCCTAATTGGTTATGTATGATTATATTTATCCCTGGTTGCGTAACAGTCATATAACTGGTGCATGAAAAGGACTACAAGCAGTGACTCTTTACCTGGGTGCAACTCACCATACTTCGGGAACTCTGAGGGAGCCCTTGTGTTGGGCCTGGCTCAGGGCCTGGGGCTGCTCTCCTCCCCTCCCTGGCTTGCAATACCAGGCTGGGGCCTTGCTCCCTCCTGGCACCTGTGGCACACCTTTGAAACACCTCATCTGGAGAGGGAGGAGGGAGGGAGGGCTCCATCTGAACCAGAACAAGGGGCAAATGAGGCAGTGCCTGGCAGCAGTTATGTGTATAATCCTGGTCCCTCTTCCCACACATTATATCAAATCCATAGTGTGCTGTTTAGTAATTTCTATCCCATTTTTTAAAAACTCTAAAGTAATTTACTTTGGTATCAGTGAATAAATGGAGACTTAGACTTTCTCGTCTCTGACATTTTTTTTCTGTTTTAACATTTAACAGCCTCATTGTGCATGAGTTTATAAAGGATGGAAAAGACAATTGATAACTGTTCAGTTCTTTTCTTACCTTCTGTGCAAAACATGTATGTTGGGCAAGGTAAACTATCCCATGCCTGTACACTGGTCTATTACAGCCCTGCTATTTATCAGAAAAAGAGATAAATAGCAGGGCTGTAATTAGGATGA